TTTTTTTTTTTTTTTTTGGTACTGGGGAACAAACTTGGATCCTTGTGCTTTCGAGGCAGGCAGCAGAACCACTGAGCTAAATCCCCAGCCCTGGATGGTGCTTCTTAAAGTGTGGCTCTGCTGGACGGGACAGTGCACATCTCTAAGTCCCATCTACTCTGGAAGCAGAGGCTGAAGAATCATGAGGTAGAGGCCAGCCTGGGTAATTTAGACCCTGCCTGGGGGAGGGGACTCCAGAGCGAGTAGCCCAGTAGGAGAGCATTTGCTCAGTATCAGGAGGCCCCAACCCTAATCCCAGTGTGTCGCGAGCCGCTACGTCAGGATCCTGCCAGGAGGTCCTAAACCTGAAAGGACGAGGACAGAGAGACGGGAGGCACTTTTCTTCTCATGTTCCTTGCTTTATTTATCACAGAACCTCTTCCTTTTATACTCTCTCGCTGCACTGGCGCGAGAGTACCGCCCACACATTCCAGAAAGAAACCAACCGTTACAGTTGCTAGGCAACAGATCAGACCACCAGCTGAACTAGCCCGTTGCTATGGGCGACGGCACGTCCACACCGCTCGGGTGAATCACAGGTCAACATGGCTGCGCTCATGCCACGCTCCTTCCACAATGCTCTCCACGCCAGTGTGTGTGGGGAGTGGCCCCCACAGAAGTAGGATCAGCATCTCTTAGGAAGCAGGACGCCAGAAGTCCTCACTCCAGCCTCAATCTGACAGTTTAAACATGACCTGCCCCACCCACACGGCGACTGAGGTGCGCTAGTTTGAGAACCACTCCCTAAATCTATCCCACCTGGGTATCCCTGAGAGCCCCACATCCAAGGGCATTTGTGTCTTTATTTGTAAGGCCAGCTCCTTAGGATTTAAGGACAATCAGGAGGGTACGTAAGACTAACACAGTGCCTGGTTTATAGTAGGTGCTCAGCGTTTGTTGAGTAAATTAACTTAGCCCTCAACAACCGCTCTGTGAGATAGGAAGTTGGTGCAGCAGAGGTGGGCTTTTAATCCAAGTCAACCCAACCCGGCGCTCCAATTTTAAGATTTGATGGAATTTATTTCTACTGCCGTTCCACTTCTGCTCGGTAGGTGGCGATCGAGGATGCTCGTGAGGTCGGACTGGGAGGCGGGATTTCCTGTCACTCAGGGAGAACTTCCGGTCCAACACGGAAGGCCGTTCCCTGCTTCTGTAGGGCTGTCCTGGGGTGTGTGCTGTTGATGGAGTTCTGCTTTGGGGTTCACTTGTGGCGCGAAGGTTGGGCGAGTGTCTCCGGGTAATCCGTTTCCCCGACAAGCACGTGGAAGTGCGGCCACGTGAGTGCACGCGCGGCCTCGGCGCGGGTCCCGGATGTTCGGGAACATGAGGAGGTGCTGGGGGTGGTGAGGTCCGAACCCGGGCCCGCTGTGCGTGGCCCACGTGTGATCCGCCTGGCACTGATGCAGACGCAGCCGGGTCCTGGAGTGGTCCAGGGCCCAGGGGAGCTCCGGCGGGGCGGGAAGCGGCCGGGGTAGTCGAGGCTGCTTTGTCTGGGGGCTTTACTGAGGCGCCCTCGCCTGCCTGGGCTTGTTTCGGGGGTATTAGGAACTTGTCCTCCCGTTCATCCATCCTAGGTTTGTCCTTCCTTCGTAATTATGTAATGTGTACTGGCTGTCACCATTCTAGGAATCACTAAGGGTTAGGGAGTCTATAAAGTTCCTTTTACACAGGCCTGTTAGGACAGTTTTTTTCTTTCGCTTTGGTTTGGTTTTTTGTTTTGTTTTTCTTTTCTTTTGGTTTTTTGGTTTGGTTTTCTTTTCTTTTGGTATTTGTTTTCGGGGGGGGGGGTTGACAGGGTCTCCTTTTGTAGTTCAGGTGGCCCTGAACTCACAGTGTAGCCCCAGCTGGCCTCTAACTGGCAGCCTCCTCCGCAGCCCTGGGATTACAGGCGTGCATCACCACGCCCGGCTTGTTGGGACAGTTTCACTCAAGTCTGACTTATTACAGTCTGCCACACACATTCTGGCGGGAGGAGGCAGGGTGTGGTGGGTGTGTCCTCAGGCAAGGTCTAGTGTAAGGGTGTGATTTGGCCCGCGTCTCAGGAGGTCAGAAGATGGAGTTCAAAGGGGGAATTAAGAATAAAAAATAGCTCCCAGTAGTTGGGAGGGTACCCGAAAGTGGGCTGCCCTGGGGACGTTTTTTTTGTCTAGGAGTTTTTGTACTAAAATGACCAAGGGCCCCCGAGGATTTAGCTCAGTGGTTAGCTCAGTGGTTCCGGTGCCTGCCTGGCAAGCTCAAGGTCTGGAGTTCAATCCCCGGTACCAAAAAAAAATAAAGACCAGGGCTTGTACCTTTGTGAATCAATCTATGGAACTAAAGCTAGAGTCCAGGCACATAGCAAGGGTGTGTCTGCAGTGCCTCTTGGCCTGTATCCTAAGTGGTTTATTAAAAGAAGAAAGTGAGAAATTAAAAACCATTTTCCAGATAGGTGGAAGCAGAAGTTGTGATAGCGGCCCTCCATCACCTCTCTCGTTATGTCCCGGACTTAATTGTCCTTCTGGTTCTTAGGAACTCTTGACTTCAGGCCTCTTACCTGACCAAGGCCTGATCATCCTGACTACCTAGGCCCCAGTCACACCCAAGCTGCCTGCGGTCTTCCACCTAACTTGCCTGCCTAAAGTTCCAGGAGGTTCTCCCTAAAGAGGAGTTGGGGACCTCAAATGCCCCTACCCATGGCATAGGTTCTGGACCTGTCGAGGAAAAGCGTTTCGAGACTTGGTCTTTCAGAGGAATAGATAGATTTACTAAGCAAAATTAAAGAAGTACACACTTAGAAGGGCGTGTAGGCTCTGCAGGGCAGAGGTGTGTTAGGATCAGGCTGGGGATGTTTTCATGTTCTTGAGGGTGGAGGTCATGGAATTTATGTAAAAAAAAAAAGCATGGGCCTGTTGTATTTTAAGATTTAGGAATTTAGGAGTGAGCATCAGTGGAAGGCGGGGGTGGAGGGAATTATAACCTTTGGTAACTTTCGTTGTGTTCTGAAGCTGGGGGTTTTTTAAAGTACAATTTTAAAGTTAAGTTTCCTTGTCTCCTTTCTATCTATCTTTGTTTCTTCTATTGTGCCTCAGGAGGAAGGGGTTGGGCAACTGGGAGAGAGGCGTTCCCAACTCAAGAGCCAAAGGATTTTGCAGGGGGGAAGGTGCTGGTGCTCCCAAGCAGAGACAGAATGGGCAAAGGCCCTGTGGCGAGAAATAGCATGGCAGGGAAGAGCCTAAAGGAGGTCGGTGTGTTTGGAGCCCAGAGGCAGCCGAAGACCTTTTCTGCACCTCTTCTGGCTGATCTGGAATACATCCTTCTCCGGCAGGCGTGGGTCAGTCCTACGAAAGCCGCTGCGTGTTTCACAAGGATTCACTGAGCACTTCGTCGTCTCTACCAGTTTCTTCCTGTTAGGGAAGAGATCAGCACCCGCCACACCAGACTCAGGGATCAATCAGATGCCTTCCCTGTCCTAGTCGCAGTGAAAGAGGAAGAATCCACCTCCCTCGGGGCATGTGTCAGTCTTATAATTGTGGTGCTTGTGTCTAATTAGAGCGACGGGTGACATGTGCCCTGAGGAATGAATATTCTGCTGGCAAATGATTACTGGAACTAAGTGCTGGGCTGTGTGCACAGCGCTGGGGGCGTTCGTGGATGTACGGAGGTTGCAGAAAAACTGACAAAACTGCAGCAGGAGTTGCACAGGGAAGATTTTTGCTTCTTAAGACTCAAATGCTGGTTTTGCTTCTGGGTGCCTGGGAGAGTAGTGGTTCACAGCTCAGCCTCTGAATCTGGTGAGGATCAGGGTGTGGCTCTGGCAGTCACTGCTGTCATCCTTGAGCGGGTTACTGCTTCCTGGCCCTTAGGATCCTGAACCCCAAAGTACGGTTGCCAGAAGAAGAAAGCAGGGAGCACTGTGTGGCAGATGTGGGAGTGATGCAGCTGTCTTTGCAATAAAAGAGGAATGATGGGGCTGTTTGTACTCCTAGAGGACTTGGTATTTAGCGAAGCTCTGTGATGTAGGTTTATTTTACTCAGCCCAGGGTGCATTTTCTGGCAAGCACAGTGCACAGTGAGACAGATGAATGAGATTCAGTCCGTAGCTGTGGAGGGACGGGAACGTGGCCTTATGAATATAGTGTAGTCCGCAGGGGTGTACTTGTAGGACATAAGAGCTATGATAGAAGCTGATCCCGCGCCAGCCACCTGCTTCACCCCCGCCCCCACCCTCTCCTTGTCATTCTGTGACCTCCTGGTTGTTTCTCACATGTCTTTCCCAGGACTTTTGCATTTGCGGGTCATTCTACCTGTAACGCCTCCTGGGTGTGTGCGTGGTGTCTCCCTTATTATGTTCAGGCTTTCCTTGGTTCCCATTACTGGAACTGTGCCCTTGCCCTGCACACCTCCCCCACACATTGGTTTTTCTGTTTACTACTCCTTGGCATTAGGCTGAATATTTGTTTGATTTTTTGGGGGGAGGGGGGTTGAGACAGGGTCCCACTATGTAGTTGAGACTGACCTAGAACTCACTATGTAGCCCAGGCTGGTCTCAAACTCACAGCGATCCTCCTGCCTCAGCCTCCCGAGTGCTGGGATTATAGGCGTGTGCCACCATGCCTGGCTTGTTTGATTTTTAGTAACTGCTTCCTCAAAGAAAATATCCCTGTCTTAGGGCACTTTGTGCTCTCCTTAGGAACTCTGGGAGTCCTTTCAGTGTCAGTTGTCTGGAGAAGGCTGGTATAACACTCAGTGCTGTTTTCCAGGATGGACTTCCCCAGCTGCCTCCGCCCCTCACTGTTCCTGACTGGCCCCCTTGGTGTGAGCGATGTCCCCGACCTGTCCTTTATGTGCAGCTGGAGAGATGCACTAACCTTGCCAGAGTCCCCACTCCAGAACTGCAAGGTGAGGATGGATGGAGGGTCCTGGCAGCTCCAGGCCAGGTCCTGGTCCTTTTATTCCATCCTGTTAGCAGTCACGCCCACTGGCATGGTGCAGAGTGGGGTGGCATCAGTGCAAGTGTGCCAGTACCCAGACCACATAGAACACTCTCCTTTGGGGGTGAGGGGGCTGCCGTCCGTACAGAGATCACTCAGTGGGAGCAGGGCTGTGTCTTCCCCAGACTCTTATCCCCCGTCTGCGCCAGTCTTGCATGGTGTGAGTTGGGAGGGGTCGGGATGAGCGAGCATGTGAACAGACCCATGGGTAAAGTGACTACTCGGTATGCTCATGGCTCTGAGCAAAACCCAGGGGTGCTCAGGCAGGAGAATGGGGTGGGAGGGAGGACAGAGTTCTCAGGACTTGAGCTGCCTCCATGAATCCTCAGTTGGCCCGGCAGTCAGGGGCAAGGGCAGGAAGAGGAATAAAGAGTCAAAGCCAGGCCCTCTGGGAGCCTCCGTTGCTGGCCCTTTGGTCCACCCTCAAGCCAGCCCATCTCTGGGAGGTGGAGTGAGCTCCTGGCTCCTGGCATGAGGGCCTGGAAGGTGGAAGTGAGGGGTAAGTGGGATTCTGGTCAGCCAGTATGGCATCAAGGCCTCCTTCCTTGAGAGCCAGTACAAGCAGAGATCAGAAACAAACTCGGCTCCAGTGGCCTGGGTTCAAATGCCAGCTCTTCTCTTTTATCAGTTGTCACTTGGGCAAGTGACAGCCTTCTCGTGCCTCAGTTTCCACATCAGTGAAATGACGCTGACCCTCATACCACCTTTTCAGGGTTGTAAGGATTGTCACGTCACCATGGTGGTTTTGTCCCCTCCAGAATACAGCTCCGCCCTTGGCCAAGACCCTGCTATGGGAGCCGGTGATGCCTGGGCCCCTTCCACTGCTGCCTCCCTGTCCCGGTAAGGGCCTCAGGCCTCTGAGCTCCCTGCCTGTCAGCGCTCCAGCCCACTTCTCCGTGCTTGTGACCTTTCCCAGCCCCACAGATGGCCTGTGTCTTCCCTGCCCTTCCCTCACCTTTCTCTCCTCTCAGATCCTTGGGACCCTGGTGTCACCGTGCAGGACCTGCTTTTCCGAGGCGGTTTCCACTACCGGAGACAGCCCCAGGTTGTGCTGGACGTCACCGAACAGGTGAGTGGTCCCACGGTGGAGGGTGCTACATGGCCTGGGGCTGTGCTCAGTGACTGCCTTCTCCCCCAGCTCAGCAGGTTCCTGTGGGATCATGGGGACATAGCCTTTGCCCCGCTAGGGAAGATGATGCTGGAGAATTTCAAACTGGAGGGAGGCCGGGTGAGTAACCCTGATGGCTGGAGAAGAGCCCCTGCTTCCTGTCCCGTCCCCTCCACCTCGCTCAGAATCCAGGCCGTGAGATCCTGACAAGGCCTTTCCACACAGAATCGCTCCAAGAAGATGACGGTGGTCAGCGCTAAGAGGCTGCTGCAGGACCTCGGAGGACACCAGCCCTGGGGGCAAGTGGCAAGGGGGAAAGGACAGGCCAGAGAGGCCTAGTGATATGTGGAAGGGACTAGGATGTAGATCCAGGTTTCCCATCATATTTCTTCCTGGCCCAGCAGCGTGAGCCATGTTGCTTCCAGCTGGCTTAAGGGAAAAGATTTCAATCCATGGACTCTGTTCATAGCTGCATCCTGGCATTATTAGGGTGATGTCAACCAGACTCCGTCTTTGTATTTTTTTCGCTGATTCCCTCTGCCTGGCTAAATTCCTAGTAAGGCTGTTGTCAAGCGGCAGCAAGATGGCTTATGATTCCAAGGAGAGAGTCAGTGTCCCTCCGGAGTCACCGGAAGTCCCAGAAAAGACTGGTTGGCCTGGCGGGGTCTCATGCCCGCTGTGCCAATCATTGTGCCAGGGCAGTGGAGAGCTCGCCCGGGTGTGGTCCTGTGACTGTGCCTGGGGTGAGGGGACAGGCCCTCAAAGAGGGAAACTAGGTAGATGAGGAGTGTGTGCTCTGCCTCTGTGCCTGACCTCCCTTGGGACGGTGTCCAGTCCTCGTCCTCATCACTGCCCCAGTGAGCCTCTGCTGTCATCCCCAGGTGTCCCTGGGCCTACCTCAGCCACAGACTGCGCCGCTTCTCCATCGTCGGGGGCCCAGTGCTGGGCAAGTCAGTGTCGAGCCTGCTGGGGAGGCTGCTGCATGAGGAGCTGGCCACGCGCTGGGAACAGCTGCTCCTGGACGAGGCCTTCACTGGAGGTGCCTTGGCCTGGCTGCCTGGGAGGACCCCGCAGGTTGGCCAGCTGGTCTACCCGGCTGGTGGTGCCCTGGACAGGCTGCGTATCCTTTCTCAACAGGCAGGGGCTCCAGGGCAGGGCAAGAAAGTTAGGGCTTGCAGTGGCCGAGCTCATCCTTTCCTTAGCCGCGGGTTTAGGTTTCCAGGAGGTCAGTCTGTCCTCAGGCAGTGACCCCCAGGTCCTCGGAGACCCTGGGTGCATCCAGCTCAAGGGACCTGTGCGACAGGTGGTGACCAGCACCGTCCAAGGAGAAAGTAAGGCCCTTAGGCACCCTCGTCCCCCTGTGACAAGCCTGCAGCCTGGCCCTGGAGCCTGATCCCTCTGTTCCTCCTCAGCGCTGCTGGCTGTGCGCTCTGACTACCACTGTGCCGTTTGGAAAGTGGGGAGGCGGCGGCCGGCCCCACAGCAGGTGCTGCGGGTTGAGAAGGGGGCCACGGGGATCAGTCTCAGGTGAGGGGGTGCTCGGCTGGGCAGCGGGGAGGGGGGCCTAGGCAGAGGATACCTGGCCGATGCTAATCACGCTGTACCTGTAGCCCTCACCTCCCCGGGGAGCTGGCCATCTGCAGCCGTTCCGGAGCAGTCTGTCTGTGGACCCCCCAGGATGGGTAATGCCCTTGCCCCTAAACACCCCACCACTGCGGAGTCCGTGCTGCCTCCTCAGGGTGTCCTAGCCAGTCTTCTGTCTGACCCCTTAGTACACACACCCTGCCTCCAACCATCAGCCCCCTGCCTCCCCATCTCCCCAAGGCTGCAGCAGGTCTACAAGGACCCAGAGACCCTCGTGTTCCGGGACCCTTCTCCCTGGCGTTGGGCAGACTTCACTGCCCACCCTCGGGTGCTGACTGTGGGTGACCGCACTGGAGTGAAGATGGTCGACACTCAGGTACGGGGCGAGGGCTGAGGGGCAGCAGGACCAGTGAGCAGTTGGGAACCTGACCCTGTGTTCTCCCCAGGGCCCCCCAGGATGCGGTCTGCTGCTTTTCCGGGCAGGGGCTGAGGCCTCCTGCCAGAAAGGGGAACGTGTTCTGCTCACACAGTACCCAGGGCAGTACAGCCCCGAGTCGCTGCCCCCGACTCTGCATCTCATCTGTACCCAGGTGAGCAGATCCGTCTCCTTGGGCCATCCTGAGACCCCTCCCTGTGAGCCAGAGCAGCCACCCGGAACCTGACCAGTGACCCTGCGGGTAGGCGGGGAAGCCCTCTCCGGCAGGGAGATCCTGTTCTACCTGCAGTGGGCTAGCAGTTGGAGGCAGGGAGAGGCCCTGGGGCCAGGACATCTGCCCGATGGGTCCTGAAGTGTGGGGAAGCAGGGAGGAGTTCTGAGGTCTGCCCCCACCGAGGAACTCGGATGCTAGCGTTGTCCCAGGGCATGGGGACAGGTGGGGAAGGCCATGTGGCTCCTGCACACCTTCAGAGGCCCCTTCTGGCTATGCTGTCCTTCCGTCCATCCCTTCCTCTGCCTGCTCAGGAAGCATCTTCTGTTCGGGGCAGGACTGGCCTCTTTAGAGGGCTATCCGTCCTGAGTTTGCAGAAATCCCGAGAGCCCTGGTCCCGGAAAGGGCCACTGTACAGCTGTGCTGGTCGCAGCCAAGCCCTCCTCCCTTGTCCTTCTGGGCCCCCAGTTCTCACTCTACCTGGTGGATGAACGCCTGCCCCTGGTGCCGATGCTGAAGTGGAACCATGACCTCCCCTCCCCGGCCCTGCTGGCCCGCCTGCTGCCTCCAGCCGAACCTGGCTGCCAGCAGCCCCTGTTCCTGGGCAGCCTAGGTGGGCAGGTGCAGCTGCTGCATATCACAGGTGAGGCCTGGGGGGGCAGGGTGTGGGCAGATGGGCCGGGCCGTGAGAAGGGGCCAGGGCCTGGGCCTCAGCCCTCTGTGCTTCCTACAGGAAAGGAGGCCTCTGAACCCAGACTCGCCCGACCCCCCCAATCTCTACCCTCCCTAACCGACTCCCTCTGTGCATTTCCCCTGCTGGAGCCCAAGAGCCAGCAGCAGCTGCAGGAGCGACTAGAGGCGCCAACCATAGGTACGCAGATGGGGAGCTAGCTCGGGGCTTCACGGGCTGCCGGCCTCGCAGGTCTGGGTCATTGTCATTCCTCTCCCAGGTCTGGCCTGTGCCTCCCCGCCTGGTGCCTCCACACCAGCAGTGTGGCTTTTCCAGCTCTCAGCAGCCGGGGATATTTTCTACCAGCACCTCGCTCTCCAAGCGGCCTCCAGCCTCCATCAAGACTCCGGGCCTCCCGGCAACCCCAGGGCAGCAGCGCCTCCTATGGACCAGAGACCCTCACCCTCCTGGACCCCCCAGGCCACTGCCTGCTGCAGCCGTTGGCTGGAGGCCCTGCTGCAGGTGCCGCCTGCACCCCCCGTGTGGACTGCACCTACCTTCTCCCATCGCCGCCTGCTAGGCCGCCTGGAGCCCCGGGAGGTGGAAGGGAAAGCGCTTCAGGTTCTGCGGGCGGCCATGGCCGGGGGGAGGCTTCTGCAGCAGAGGGACCTGGGCCTTCTCCCGCCAGCAGAGCTGCCCCCTGCCCCCGAGCCAGGCCCACAGGATGAGCTCAGTGAGCGTTTGGAGGAAGCCTGGGAAGGCCGGGGGGCAAAGTGGTGGAAGAGACAGCAGGGCAAGACCTCGAAGCCGGGGAAGCGGACCAAGCGGGCCAAGCGCCGGACTCAGCTGTCCAGCACCTTCTCTTCGCTCACCAGCTGCGTGGACCTCCCGGATAGCGCCAGCTCAGAGCGGACCCTCTCAGAGGCCAGGTCCCAGCCCCCTGTGACCCCACACTCCCAGGGGTCGGCTCGGCAACTGTGGGCCCAGGGTGTCCACTCAGAGAGGCGACAGACCCTTGGGGACTGCATGGCGGGGCTGCCACTTCCAAAGGGCACCCCTGCCCCGGGACAGGTGCCCTCACCCCCCTCCCAGGCCTCCAGCGTCCGAGCCACACCCTCCCGGCTGCCTGCCCCTGGCTCTCAGCCCCACCGGAAGAGGCCACGTATGGGCTTCTGAGGACACCAGAGTTGCTGTCACTGACCCCGTCCTCCACTGTGGACCAGCTGTGCCTTCCTAAAACAGACGGAACTTCCTGGTGCAGAGCTTTCTGCCTCCTGAATGCCTCGGGAGACCCAGAAGCAAGCGACAGGATGAACTGAGTTGAAGGAATAGGACCATAGTCTGTGTTTTGCACATTTGCCTGCAAACAGACCCTGAAGCCTCAGGGAAAGGGTCTCTTGTGAACCAGTGTGGCTGCTGTTCTGGAGACGGCAGGGGCTGTGCTGGGAAGCAGGGCCCTCGTGTCTCCCAGTGTCTCCTTATCTGTAGGAAAGTGGGGCATCGGCACCTGCCCCTGTGTCTGGCCTCGTGGCACAAGGCCCCATAGCCACTCCCTGGCAGGGCCTCATGGGGGGCACAGGGCAGGCTGGCAGCTTGTGCTGCAGAACCGTCCCGTGTCTACAGGGTGATATTTGGGTGCCAGGCTCATGGGTGTAATAACCCAGGCGGCTGAACGTGACAGAGCGGTCATGTTTGCAGGCTGCATGGTGTCCCCTATACTGTGGGCGAGGGCACACTTGCTTGAGTTTGTACGGACACTCAGGTGTGATCCACTGGGAGGGAAACAGCCTCCGCGTGGCTGACAAATGGGTTGCGCATGGCTGACACAGACAGCGGTCCAGGAACACACGTTACGTTCTCATGGGGCTGATGAGGCGTTTATAGTTACATACTGTGTAAGTACAGGGAACCTGGAATTGCATTGCAGGCCGAGGGTACGAGGGTGAGGGAGCACACAGGCAGCTGTCACAGCCGAGTCCCCAGAGCACACTTGGCAGGCGGCAGCACTCGGAGGAAGAGGTGACCAGCGCCCACTCCCAGTCACTGCTGATGCGGCGGTGGGCCCCTGGCTTCAGTCCAGGGAGAATTCCACGTCCCCCCGGCCTGTCCCCACACTGGGCTCCCGGGACACCACCTCAGGCTGCACTTTGTCCTTTTCAGTTCTGTCCCCTAGAGTTGGGAGAGACCAGGACTCAGCACCCCAGGAGCGGAGCCGGCCCTGCCCACTCCCCTGTCCTGTGAGGAGCACATGGGGTCTAGGGACAGTTGTGCCAACACCCCAGTCTGGCTATCAGCAGAAGGCCCCAGGTCGTTCACCCTCCGTGTGTGCACGCTGGCTTCACAAGCTGCCACCAGCACGAGGGGTGGCCTCTGGACACTGTCCCTGCTTGGTACATCAGCCATGGGTTCTCCTGCCCTTGGAGCACCATACTATGCCAGCTCTCACCTTGGTTTTTTATTTTGGGGGGATGGGACCCGGGACCAGGCAGGCACTGTGCCACTGAGCTGCATCCCTGGTCTTTGCTATCACGTTTCATCCTACACTCCAGCTAGGGCATCCATAGTCCCCTCCTCCCTCCTCTGGAAGCTTAGGTCTGGAAAGGCCAGGGCTGGGGTAGTGAGGGGGAAAGCGCAGGTTCCACAGCACCCCAGAGTACTGAGTGCTGCATGGCCACAGGACCTGGGGCACTGCCACCCACAGTGGCAGCTTCAGAGTCATGGGCTTAGCATCATCTGTAAAGTCTCAGCCCATCACAGAAGCCTGGGCTTCTTGGGCCAAGGCACAACTGGTCCCCCAATCCCACCCCGGCTCCTGGGCTGGGTGCCTCACCTGGGGAAGAGGCTCCAGGCAGGTCCCGGTCCCGGTCCCCGTCCCTGCTCTCCAAGATGTCTCTTCTGCAGCGGGGGGAGCGTAGTGCTTGGCCGGAGGGCTCATCTCCAAGCTCCTGAATGAGCGGTCTCATGAACTTGGTATTTTTACTTTGGGTTGCCAAGTCTCTCGTCACTTCTTTGTTTAAAATGTCTTCAAAAGGTGCCTTGGCCTTCTTTGAGGTGTCCCTAGAGACTGCGAATATGTGAGAAAGGGCACCTGCGGGCGAGTGTTCTGGCTTGGGGAGGGCTGCACCGTCCAGCTCAGTATCCCGGTCAGGAGTCCCACTTGGGAGGGCCTCAATTTTCGGAAAGCACCACTCCTGTTGTGGGAATAAGTGTTTCAACGTTCTGCTTTCACAACAGTCACTCTACTAGAGTGCACCCTGCTGAGCCTGCTTTCACACTGAATGCCAGCAGCTCTTCTGTGCCCAGTGCAGTGACCCCAGGGAGCACTGGGCCGTGCCCACTTGGAGTAGGGGCTGGGGACAGGTGCTTCTTGGCCAGCACTTCCTGCTGAGTGCTGCGGCCTGCCCCCCCTACAAGGGACTCCACCCTGCACCCCACCTGGCCCCTCCACGACACCTCCCAGGTGGCTTCTGTTCGGTAAACCTCAGCCCAGTCTTGTGTACAACACTGGAACTTTGCTCTTGCACAGTGACCACGGCTGCAAGGGCCTGTTTCCTTGGATAGCGACCTCATGCAGAGGATAGCCACTGCTTCCTTGTCCCTCAGGACCCCGTGGGACCCCATAATGCCTGAGGTGGGGGCAGGTGAATTAGGAAAATGTCTGGCCCCTCACCCCCTCGTGCCTCCTTCCCTCCGTAGCTTTAGTCAAACACATTCCTAAGATGAACATGTAAATGCACCATAAGGATAGAAAATGCTTTCCAGTAATTATGTGCAGTGCACAGTTATTACAAATAACAATACAATGGTTGTGCAAGAAGACCCAAGTGGCCAATAACCCCTTAAAGCAAGCAGAAACAAACAGCTGTAATTCCTTTAGGCAAGAACGTGAGAGTACGTGATGCTTTCTTTGATCATAGAACTTTTCAAGAGGGAAAACTGCTAAATGACAAGAACAAAGTGGAATTCAGCCTGATTATGGGTCAAATGTGTGCTGATAACCTTGTCCTGGTCATCCAAAGGTGCTCCTGTGTCGTCCATGTCTTCCAAGTCGGGCAGGTCCTGAAAGAGCCACCAGGCAGGTGAGATAAATGGAAATGCGGTGTACGGGGAGCCTTTGGCACAGCCCGCTGGGCACAGAGGAGAGAACAGCATCGCCCCCACATGCACACCACCGCCCCAGTGCTGCCTTTTCAAGCGATGAGTCTAAGCCAGGGAAGTGAGAGCTTACAGGCTGTGACAGGTTCCAAGGATCTCCGCATCTTTGCTTCATTTTATTTCTAGAGACACAGTCACTTCACCTTGGGAGGCATAATGTGGCCCAAATCAAAAGTACCAGCGTACAAATGAGTCCTGGGACCCTAGTGGGCTATCTTGTACCTCCCCAAAGCTGATCTCTTAGTTTTATTCTGTTTGTTCGTTTGCACACAGGAGTAAGATCACTGACTAGATATGTAAACCCTGGAGCCAGGCGACCTGGGCTAGAATTCCCACCCCACCGTTTCTTAGCTGTGTGGCTCTGGGCAGACTGCTTAACCTCTCTGTCTCAATTTCCCCATCTGAAAGATTGGGATAATAGTATACCTCTTAGAGTATTCAAAGGATTATGTCAATCAGTGCAAATAATGCTTAGACCAATGCTATGCCTTGAGTAAGAACTCAAAAACTAATGGGCTACTAATACATAATTCACAAATGTTAAGCAATGAGCTGTCCAACTTTGTTTCCTATCTAAAGAACTAGAAACCTACTAAGAATATCAACCATGATCAGTGTAATGCTTAGTCATGAAATTTTGAGATTTGGGCATGAGAAAACGCCATTTAACAAGATAATGACACCGGTGTGGGGGTGCCAGCTGCCCAAGGGGTGTGGTGACAAGCTGAAAAGTACTTCCCTGTTCTGCCCGGTCAGAACACAGTTCCCAGGACACTGGCAGGGGTGTGGGCTCCCACGGTGGCCTGTCACTAGGCCAGTGTGTCAGACTGCCATCACAATGAGCAGAGCTCCAGGAAGGAGGGTGCCCGAGGGTGGGGTCTGACATTCACAGCGGGCCCAGGGGACGGGGCTGGGCAGTGCATCTGGAGGGCTACGAGAACAATGCCAGCTGGTGAGACAGAAACTTGCCAGGCAGGGGACAAGGGCTTTGAGAGGCCCTGGTGATGCCCTGGGCCTGGGGGGGGGCACTGGCCGGGCCTGTGCTGTGTGAGCCAGGACCACCCAGGGAGGTTCACTGTCTGCCACCCCAGGGCCACATCACAGAGGGTGGCGAGGATCACAGAGGTGCAGACTGACACCTCCAAGGCTGAGTGCGCCCCTTACCCCAATAAAGAGCTTCTCGGTCCCAACGGCCCCTGCGTCCTCAGTTCCGGTCCCACAAGGCTCTGTAGCTGACGCGCCTTCAGCAGCCACCATCTCAAGGGACGCTGACACTGGGGAGCACAGGAGCAGTGGTCAGTCCTGGGTGAGTTTGGTGCCAGCAGCAGCCCCATGAGCCACAGCACAGGAATCACGGCTGAGGCCTGATGCAGACACCCCAAACCCCTAGTGGACAGAAGACCAGAAGAAGCTGCCCCTCCCTGCTATGACCTGGAGGTGATCCCGAGAGGAGGTGCCAGATGGGCATCGAGCAGGAACCAGAGAGGGGAACCAACCCACAGCAAGAGGAAGACAGATGTGCTCACAACAGGACCAGCTTCCTACCACTGGCCTGTGCCGCCTCCCATCAGGGGACACTGCCCTCCAGCCTCAGGGCCTGGGACTTGTGTGAGTTGGGAAGTGTGGGCGGCAGGCCCTCCCCGAGGTTCCCTGTGCGGCGCTCGGGCCTGGGCTCTGCAAAGTCTGTGTGAGGCATCAGCTGAACCGCAGCTGAGAGGGTGAATAGCCTGTGAGCCTACAACCAACATCACAGGGCCGGGCATCTGCACTGGGGAAAGCGTTCTGGAAAGTGTGGCCTTGCCAGGGAGAAACTCTTCCAGAAGCCCAGGGGTGGTCAGGCCACAGAGGTGTCCCCTAGGACAAAATCCAAACAAGCAACTTTCTAGATGGACACGGAAGCTGGGAGAGGAGCGGTGGCCAGCACCCGATGATGGTGGCCGGTTCCCTGGTGTAGGTTCTGTCCCCTGTGGCTGCGCTCTTTTCTCTCTGTACTCTGCAGCGAGGCCTCTGCCCACTCTTCCCGCCCTGCTTTCCTGACTCACCTGGCACCCAGGCCCAGCATCAGGGAACCACTGATCCCGATTTCTGCATCTGACAGAACAGCAGTGTGCAGGTGCGCAAACGCACACACCACACACGCACACAGCTAAGCCTGCCCCATGGGTATTTGCATTTCCCACATAGCTGTTTCTCTACAAAGATCCCACGTTATAAAATTCCTTGGAAATTACTGAACATGGAAATGGCTATAACCAAATTCATAGAAGCACTAAGACTAGGCACAGTGGCGCACGCCTGTAATCCCAGCACCCTGGGAGCTGGAGGCAGGAGGATCAGGAGCTGGAGCACAGCCTGGACAACTTCGCAATTTAGCAAGACCTTGTCTCAAAATCTAAAAGAAAATGGGGAGGCTGGGGATGTGGCTCAATGTGAAGACGTTGGGTTCAATCCCCAGTACTGGGAGGAGGAAAGCATACAAAGTATAATAAAAAGTACAGTGTTTACCTTTTCGACAGTAAAGGGCAGACTGTTATTAATGCTCCTCAGAATCCTCCCCTCACTTCTCACACACCCGTCCCATCCTCCTCGCCTCTCCCTGGAGCAGCTCTGTGAGTCTGCCCTTGTGTCTTTGTCGCACTGTCGTGGACTCCTTGATGTCCTGGATCCAATCAAACTGCTCTCCTTCACGGTCACGTCGGTTTTAGGGAAGAGCCAGAAGTTGCACGGTACGAGATCTGGATGAGGACGCACTGCCACGAGTTTACGACCTTCCTTTCCAACTGGCTGGGACTCAGCAGCAGCATCTTTCTTTTGGTACCGGGGGTCAAACTGGGGTCCTCGCACTTGCGAGGCAGGTGGTGGAACCGCTGAGCTAAGTCCCCACCCAACAGCATTTCGTTTTTATCACACCTCCTGCAGACCCTCATGGGAGAGCACTTCCGTTCCAGAACTGCTTCAGAAAGGGGCAAGGACGACGGGACGAGTGTGTCGGAGGAGAGGGAGGGCTCCGAGGAGGACTTGTGGGAAAGTGTCTTTTGCTATAATAAATTGTTTCTGTGGCTCTGAGATCGTCTGTGTAGCCCAGGCTGACCTCAAACTCTGTGATTATCCTGCCTCAGCCTCCTGTGCGATGGGATTACAGGTGTGCACCACCATGCCCAGGGCTACTGTTAATGATCTTTTTTTAACACTGGATATTGTTTTGCATAGTCTTACTCTTTTTTTAACGTGGCTACTATAAAATCTCTGTGGCTCCTGCTGTACTTCTGCGGCGCAGTGCTGCTCTGGAACATGGGGTAGCTTGTGTGCTTTATGCTCTGGGGCAGCAGTAGCGGGGTGAGGCTCAGACCCCAGTCGGCACCCTCGCTCTGCCCAAGTTACCTTCCAGGGGCACAGGGTGCGGGGCAGACAGGCTCCCTGCAGGCACCCCAGCTTCTGCCTTTCTGCTGGAGACACCCTCAGGCCACGCTTCCTCCGGGAACAGCTCGGCCCTGGCCTCGAAGCTGTCCTTCGCGAACAGCTCCAGGCTCTGCTGCGTGTCCCCTGCCGCGTGGCACTCATTCTGCCTGTCCTTGCTGTCTGCCGGGGCCATCGCACCTAAACGAAGGGGTCATGGGTGAGCGTGGGTGGTGCACTTCTGAGCTGAGCATGGAGGTGCCAGGCACGCAGGAAAGGAAGAACCCAGAGGACTGGGCATAGCGGCCCAGGTCTGTGATCTGAGCCTCTGGGGGGCTGAGGCAGGAGGAGCACACGTTTGAGACCAGCCTCAGCAACTTAGTTTCTGACCGACAGACACCCAGTCTAAAAATTAAAAATTAAAAAAGGGACAGGATGTAGCACAGTATGAAGGCCCTGGGTCCTGTCCCCAACATCACCACACATGCACACACAACTGTGAGCAATGTCCTTGGGAGTGCTGTTCACACCTAAATAAAGGGAGATCAGCATCCCAGAAGAGATTCCTGAACCCCTACTTAATGGAAAGGACAGAGTTACTGAGAAGACGTCAGGCAGGAGGCCCTGAGGAGATACCTGTAGCAGTGGTAGGGTTTAAAGGCTGAAATGTCTGCCTTTACTTCCAAATAGTCAAGAGAAAATTTAGATTCCTTGGGAGGCTGAAGCAGGAGGATCTTGAGTTCGAAGCTAGAGCCTGTGAGGCCCTGGGTTCCATCCCTCAGACAAAAGGGGTAAAGGGCGAGCACAGAGACATGAGGTGCTGCACTGTGGGCTCTGAGGGTGGAGCGGGGCCCTGCAGCATGGGAGACGACTGCTGCTCGAGCCGGAAAAGACCAGCTTCTCCCTGGAGCTCCCCGAAGGGCACAACCCTCAGGTGTCCCAGACCTGTGATGAGAACACATCGGTCCTGCCTGAAGCTGCTGACATGTGGATTGGATATGGCAGATAGGCTGGGGTTGCAGCCCTGAGCTCCTTGGGGACAGGGCTCTGCGAGCCTCTTCTGCTCAGTGCCTGGTCTTAGACCCCCATACCTGGTGCGGAGCTCCCAGACCTTTTCACTTCGGGGTGGGGGGGCACGGAGCATCTTTGTTTCCCTGAGGTGACCTCAGTGGGCCTTTGTGAGGGCTGTGGGCCCCTCCAGGGAGGGGAGGGAGCTGTCATTATCCATCATGAAAAGCCCTGAGTTCTGGGCTCAGGTCAGTGCTGCACATGCGGGTGACAGGAGGGGACATCCTCCATTCCCCTACACCTTGCCCTGGGCGTAGCTCCATCCAGCTATTCATCAGTAAACTTTCAACGTCAGAAACCTGAAGATGTGGCGCACACCTGTAATCCCAGCACTTGGGGGCTGAGGCAGGAGGGTCACCATGAGTTTAAGACCAGCCTGGACTACACAGTGAGACTGTCTAAAAAATAGAATCATAGGCATTTAGAGACTGAATTGGATGGCCTCGCCTGGCCCGACTGACACAGAGCTGCTGAGATGCCCGCCTACCTCCCTCTCGGCCTTCTTTCTCTCTCCTGCGCTCCTCTGCCCGCCGCTTGATCATGGCCAGGGCCTCGATGCTGTCTGTGATCTTCTTCCGCTCTCTGCTCTCCCAGAGCTCTCTCTCCTCCTTCTCCGCCGCGTACCCTCCTCGGGCCCAGGCCTCGGCGCACGCTCTGCATGTGGAAATAAGACAGAAGCAGGGGAGACCAAGGGTGAATCCTTCGGAGACAATGTCTGACCAGACTTGCTCGGTTCCTTCAAAACCAAAACAAAAGACACAAGAGTCAAATGACTTAGGAACTGACATCCACCCAAAAACCTGCATGTGGGTGTTGAAGGCAGCTTTATTCTAACTGGCAAAAGCCAGAAGCAACCTAGATGTCCTTCCATAGGCAACGGACGAACTATGTACAGTAGACAACGCAGTATTATTCAACAACAAAACGAAGTAAGCTATCGACCCACACAGCTGCTATTAAGCGGACGAAGCCAGTCTGGAAGTGGACAACACGCAGTACAATCCCAGCTCCCTGCATCTGGAAAACAGACGCACAACTGTGGTGACATTAGAGGATCACGGTGCCAGGGGCTAGGTGGGGATAGGACGGATCTGCTGGGACTTCTCAGGCCACAGAATGACTCTGTCTAATACTGCATTCGTGTAACCCAGAGAATGAGCCCGTAAGTACTGTGCAGTGTGGAGTTCAGTGAGTCATAGCGTGGGCCTGGGGACACCGAGTGCAGCACACAACCACACAGGGAGGGGTCCGGAACAGGGAGGCGCCCAAGGGCAGGTGTACAGGGAGTTCTGTGCACTGTCTGCCCAACTTTTCTCAAACTGCCCTTTCAGAGAGTCTATTTGTTTTCAAAATTGAGCAAAGAAACTAAATAGTCATTTTCCCAAAGAATACATACAAATCGACGCTAAAGGGACGCCTGACATTAGCCCCTGGGGAAATGGAAATCAAGACCACGATGAGACGCCATTCATGCCCCCTGTGAGGACCAAGTAGGAAGATGGGTGGTGACAGGCTGAGCCAGAGCCTGCATCCACTGCTGGGGGAGACGTGACGCTGGTGCAGCCGCCTTGGGAGACAGTTCGGTGTCTCCTCCAAAGTCAGGCATAGAGTTCCCATTTGATCCAGCAACTCCACTCCTATCTGTGTACCCCAAAGAACAAGGCCTACCTCTACAGAAACACTTGCGCACAAACACAGCAGCATTATTCACAATAGCCAAAAACTAGAAGACCCAAATTTCGAACAGTGGATGGAAAAGCGGAATGTGGCAGGTCAAGACGGAAGGCTACATGGCAATAAAGAAGGGTGGAGACATGGGTGTGTGTGGCACCATGAGAGGAACTTGACACGGTGCTGCGTGATGGGAGCCAGGCGGACATTTATTTATTTTTGGTACTGGAGATCCAACTCGGGTCCTTGGGCCTGCAAGGCAGGCAGCTGGACCACTGAGCTAAATCCCTGGCTCCTACCATTGCATTTAAATGGGTGAGCCAGATAGGGAATGAGTTACAGCTCAATACATCTGTTTTTTTTTTTTTTTTTAAGTCCAGTGGCTTAAAAGTAGGAGGCTTAACTTTAGAGAGAGGAAGCAGATGCCCACTGGTGAATCAAAGGTACAGAAGCTATCTGGTGCCACACATGCCAAGCAAGCATAAGGCCCTGAGTTTGATTCCCTCTACAAAAAAGGGTGGGGGGAGGAAGAAGGAGAGGAAGAGGAAGGAGGAGGATGAGGAGGAGGATATCTGCAGACAGTCCGGGCTTCATGGAGTACACTGTTAGTGGAAGACCACAAGTCCCCCCCAGAATGTGCCGCAGGAATAGACTCTGTTCTGGTCCCAGCGTCTTATCTCCAAGTGGACACCAGGCACCATGCTAGATAGAGGCTCGGGCCACGGTGACCCTGAACCACAGGGCTCCCGGAGGCGGGGGTGCCCCAAAGTGTGCTGGGGGAGGGAGTGAGTCTGCGCCAGCGACAGATGCGTCCCAAGAGGACAAGAGGCAGACATGGTGCTATGCAGGCCGCGCGGTCCCTCCAAGGACAGCAGCACACCTCCGCAGCTGTCAGGGCAGCATGCAGGCACCCAGTGAGGGGCGCTGGGATGCGGCTGGACGGGATGCCAACCTGTGCTACGCTGGTGTGGGCGGCAGGCTCCCTGCTCAGAACTGTGTCTGCACTGAACTCTCCTGAGTCTCGCCCTGGCTGGGTGGGACCTCAAGGCGCTGCTCCTGGGTTCACTGCTAGGAGCTCCAGACCTGCTCAAGCCCAGCTGGGAAGCCCGGCCAGCCTGCTCCAGCGGGGTTGGAGCCCAGGGAGTGGTCAGTCACCGGATTTCTGCTTTTCTTACCTGGGGAGAGTAGGGCTCTAACTTCTACTTGAATTGTTTGTTAGTTTGATTTCAAGTTGTGAGTTCAGAAACATATTACAAGCTACATTGCTCTTGGAAGATCATATGATTTAAATTTTGAATTTCATTTCCCCTCAAGCATTCCATATTAGTACATAGTTTTAGTCTAAATTAGAATTGGGCCAGGGATTTAGCTCAGTGGTGCCGCCACCTGCCTCGCAAGTGCAAGGACCCAAATTTGATCCCCGGCAACAAACAAACAAAAATTAGAATTACTACTGACCTAAATCAAAAGGTAAATTAAAAACACAAGTGAAAGCAATGACAAAAACTGCTTCTCAGGAGACTAAGGCAGGAGGATCGCAAGTAAGGCCAACCTGTAATGTAGAGAGATCCTGTATAAAAATAAAATTTTTTTAAAGGGCTAGGGATGACTTCATATGTTTGTGTGTGTGTATGCATGCATGTGTGGTTGTTTTGTTTTGGGTTTTTTGAAACAAGATTTTGCTGTGTAGTTCAGGCTGGCCTTGAACTCACTATGTAGCCCAGGCTGGCCGCAAACTCAGGCGATCCTCCTGCCTCAGCTTCCTGAGTGCTGGGATTATAGGCGTACGCCACCACACCTGACTGGCCTGGGGGTACAGCTCAGTGGTAGAGTGCTTGCCTAGCATTATCAAGGCACTGGGTCTAATCCCCAATACCGCCAAACAAACAAGCAAACGGAAGCTCATTTTATTTTATTTATTTATTATTATTTGGTTTTTTTTTTTGGAGACAGGGTCTCACTATGTAGTTGAGACTGACCTGGAACTCACTATGTAGCCCAGGCTGGTCTTGATCTCACAGGGATCCTCCTGACTCAGCCTCCAGAGTGCTGGGATTACAGGTGTGTGCCACCATGCCCAGCTCCAGAAGCTCATTTTAAACAAGGAAACTGGGAAGAAGTCATGAACAGACTATTCTTAAAAGAGGGATAGAAAAATGACCAGTCTCATCAGGTAACCAAAAATGAAAGTTAAAACAATGAGATACCATTTTTACTCAGCAAGTAACTTGGCAAAGATTCTTTTACAGGCTATGTCTGTTTAGACTGTGAAGTGCTACAAACTCTCCAAAGAACAATTAGAAACTGTAAGAACCTTTAAAAATTCTCAAGTCATGCATGTGTGTATATGTGTGCATGTGCGTGTGTATGTGTGTGTTTGTATGTTACTGGGCATTAACTTCAGTAAACCCAATGCTTTGGCGCTGAGGTACATCCCCAGTGGGTTTTGTTTTATTTCTTTTTAATTTGGACCCAATGTCTTGCTAAGATGCTAAGTTGCCCTGGCTGGGTTTGAACTTGTGATCCTCCTGCCTGGCGTGTACCACCACCCCCGGCTTCAAGGCACATTCTTTAACCCAGCGATACCACTCCCAGAATCCTACCCCAAGGATGTAGCAGTGAGGTAAAGGACAGTTATCAAAGGAGTATAAGATTCTAAAAATGAGTGCTCAGATTCTATTACAGGCAGGTATGTGGTCATTAGACCTGTGTCCAAAGAATATATAATGATGTGTGAAAATGCACAAAAATCAGAAATGCTAAAAGGCTAATATTAGGCAGACTCAACACGATATATCCAGAGACGACCAAGAGGCTTCTCCCTGCTCACCTGTCCTTTGGAAAAACTGGCCTGTCATCGAGGTAGGTCAAGTGTTGCAGCCGCACGGTGACTGTCCTTCGGTAATTAGGGATGTGCTTGATAACAGGGTTTCCCATCAGGTTGAGGACACGCTGTACAGCAGACAAGAAGAGCCAAACTGAATAACTGAAAAAGCACGGCTGAAGTACATGTGTGGAGAATAACTCCATACAATATATTTTCTTTTTTGTTTGGAGACAGGGTCCCACTATATAGTTCGGCTGGACTTGAACTATGTAGCCCACACTGGCCTCAAACTTGTGGCAATCCTCCTGCCTCAGCCTCCCAAATGCTGGGAATAGCATATATTTTATTGAGCAAAATGCAAGTGCCAGGTCCTGTCCCCGTGCGCCAGTCGGAGACATCAGGAGGCTGTGCTGCTCTGGTGCCATCAGAACTGCCCAGATCACAGAGCTGCTCTCCCTTCTGCTTGAGCTTCAGGGCTCAGACCTCAGCGTCCTTCCCGAGCAGCAATGGAAGACATTTCCTGAGGCCTTTTCCAAGGGCAGCGATTCCATCGGTTCTGCTGCCTGGTCTCTCCTACTAAAGGGCATCTCAGCCCGACTGTTTTCTTTCCTTCCCTGCCAGGGCATTTTAAGAAGACACTCACACTGGTGACAGACAAGGAGCAGGGACTGAGGGATGGAAAATGTCCTTATGCACTGTGAGCATCACAGCATGGAGGGCGTTTCTCATGGGGCCAAGGTCACGGTGAGACCAGGAAAGAGGAAGGCCCAGCAGTGCCCGTGCCATCCTCCCCCACTCAAAGGCCAACTTCCCCATCTGCCCAAAGAAGCTCACAAAGTCATTAAATAGTTTTCATGTCTTAGCCAGGCATGGTGGTGCACACCTGTAATTCCAGCACTCAAGAGGCTGTGGCAGGAGGGTCGCTGAAAGTGTGAGGCCAGCCTGGACTACAAAGTGAGACCCTGTTTCAAAAAACCAAATCAAATCAAAATAATTTTTTTTCATATCTAACCTGGTTTCTGTTACTGCAGAAGATAAATATGTTGCAAACTAGTTAGTTTAGAATTTCCCAGACTCCATTCTGGTACCATGTGTGCCAAATTTTCAAGGAGCTTTTCCTTCATGGGCAGGAGCAATATGCAGGGACAGGTAGTAAAGGGGTGTGTTGTATATGGAGAATTTAAAGCAACAGTATTACAATACAGTTTTTAATATTACTGGGGAATGTGCGAGGATTTAGCTCAGGGGTTCCACCGCCTGCCTTACAAGTGCAAGGTCCCAAGTTTGATCTCTGGTATCAAAACAAAAGACAAAAAACAAAAAAAAGAAAAAGAAAAAAGAAAAGAAAAGAAAATATTACTGAGGAATAAACCCATGACCTTCACATCGAGCTATATTCCTAGCCCTTTTTTGATTTTCTATTCTTTTTACCTTATTTGTATGTGTATAGTACATGTTTGGGTCATTCCTTGTGGGAAGTTGGTACTGTACATAACACATCTTAATTTCTATTTTCATTCCCTTTTCATTTCTCCCCCTCCATCCACCTGTTATTTTTTGTTTTTCTTTTCTTTCTTTCTTCTTCTTTTTTTTAATGTTATCCGGGATCGAACTCGGGACCTTCCACTTGCAAGGCAGGGAAAAGAACCACTGAGCTAGATCCCTGGCCCTATTTTTTATTTTTGAGACAGAATCTTACTAAATTGCTGAGTTTCTAGGTTAGGTTTGAACTTGTGATTTTCCTGCCTCACCCTCCCAGAGTTCTGGGATTACAGGCGTGTGCCACCATGCCTAACCGTAACATGACTTTATATTGTCACCGGAAGCTGGCAGTTCTAAGCTGGTCTTCTGGATAGTTCTCTCTGGAGATTAGTCCTGAACAATGATTTGCTTATTGTTTTTCTTCAAATGGACTCAGTTTCCTTCCACTTTTCCAACCCTAAGCAGTAAACGGTGAACTCAAAGGTTGTATGTGCTTGTTTCCATATTTTTAATACACACACACTGAAAAGCAAGGAAGCTGCGAAAGGTCACTGAAGTCGAGTCATAAGGATACAGAAACTCCCCTGCTGAGGCTTTCACATCTAAAGTGTCCTCCAAAAGTCTCACGTTTGGAGATGGGGCCAGTTGGAAGGGCCAGGTCACTGAGGGTGTGACCCGGAAGGAGACGGGGTGTTCTCACCCGACTCCTCCTTTCTCTCTCTGCTTCCTGGCTGCCATGGAGGGAGCAGCTTTTTTATACCAGGCCCTTTTCACCATGATCTTTCTGCCTTGGAGCCAGCTGGCCATGGACTGAAACTGAGCTGAAATAAATCTCTCCTCCTCCAAGTGTGGGTGTCACTATTGTGTCCCAGTGATAAGGAAAGCTGACTGATTTAGAGGGGGAAACCTGGACATCAAAAATTGAAGTGACAGGGCCAGAGGTTTAGCTTAGTGGTCTGCTGCCTGCCTCTCAAGTGCAAGGTCCTGAGTTTGATCTCCGGTGCTACTACTACTACTAATAATAATGTGACAGCAAGATACTGTGCATCAAAATCCATGAACTCACAATGACCATAATGAGGGAAAAGCCTTTGGGGTCACAATTAGAGGTTGAGAATCTTAACTTGTTTTGCTGAAAATAAGTAAGGTAAAAGGAAAGACTCAAACATCTACCCTGGCCTTTTCAGTAGAGACCAGTAGTGATGGGTGAAGGTTCTTTGTAGAAGGGCCCAAGCTGTTCCACGCAGAAGCAATAAGAGAAGAAGAAAAGGTCATTGTGGAGTCCCAATGAAACAGCATATCTAGGCAGGGCTCCTCACTGGCTGCCAGACAGGAAAGAGATTAATGGGAGCTTCCTGGTGACCTGACCAAGTGCAAATGTGTACCCACTACATAGTCTAAATTTTTAAAAAAGAGGCAAGAGGACATCAGATGCACCAGCATGTGCAGTGGAGAACACCGAACCGTGAGCTAATTAAATCTCTGACTCCATCATTTTATGGGAAATACTGCGGACAGCAGAATAGGTCAAACGACACCATGAGGATGCAGCCAACCGAATCAGAAGGTGGGAAACTGCTGGATGAAGGCCCCGATTTCTCTACAAATGAACGATGAGGGGAGGAAACAGGGAAGGAACAATACCACAGATCAAAAGGGACCAAGCTGACAAGTGACCCAGTAACAACATCTACATTTGGTGTGGATTTCAACAACCCAACTATCAAAACATATTTTTAAGGTACATGGGGAACACTGAGCATGGGCAAGGCATTGAGTGCGGTCAGTATGTTTTAAATATAATACTGTTATTGTGTCTATGCTTAAAAAGTCCTTATCTATCAGACATACACTAAATATTTGTGGGTGACATGACAGGTGATATCTAAGATGCTCCAGTGAAAAACACAAACAGGAAAGAGTATCAAAGAGGAAGGAAGGGCCAGGGATTGAGCTCAGCGGTTCCACTGCCTGACTCACAAGCACAGGCAAGGCGCTGCGTTTGATCCCCAGTAGCCCCTGCAAAAAAAGGAAAGAAAAAACAAAAAAGAAAGGAAAGGAGTATAGAAGCAAGGGAGGGTGGGAAGGATGAAAGAAATGAGACTGGTGTTTAAAGAACATAAGACAATGCAAGTTGGATCTGTCTTGTTTTTACCAAAGCAGGCATGCTTTCGAGGATGCTCAGGATCTGCGGATCGCTCAGCTGGTTATGGGAAAGGTCAAGAACGCAAAGCTTCAAACAATCCTTCAGGTGCTGGACGTCTTCCACCGTCTCCAAGTGGTTGTGGGCAATCTGTAGCGTGTTCAGGACGGGGAGGCACGCTGGAAGGGAGCACAGCGGAAGTGAGCAGCCTACCGTATGAACCCCTAGAGATTCTCCTTCCTCTGGATGGGTGACCCGAGGCAGAGGGAAAGGCGGCCGAGGCTCTCACAGAGGTTCTCGATGGTCTTGATGTAATTGTTGCTGAGGTTCAGAGTGTCCAGTTTCTGCAGAGGTTCCAGGTTCTCAATTTTATGAAGCAAGTTCGCTTGCAAGAAGACGCAGCGCAGCTCAGTTTGGGCCTCCAGGTTCTGGATTTTCCGTATTCCGTTGCACTCCAGCCAGAGACAGCGCAGACCTGTGTACTCCTCCAGGTTTTCAATGCAGTCAAACCCTGGGCAGAGGAAAGTGGGGGTTGACCAGGCTTCTCATACACAGGGGAGAGGGCTCAAGGTCACCCTCGTTTTTGCCTGTACTTAGGGAATGCACGGTTGTGTCCTCTCAGAATTCCTATGTTGAAATCTCTTTTTTGGTACAGGGAGTGAACACAGAGCCCTTGCACTGACCTACATCCCAAGTCCTTTTATTTTATTTCATTGTTTTGAGACAGGGTCTCAGTAAGTTGTTAGTCTGGGCTCAAACTCATGATCCTCCCACCACAGCCTCCTAGAATGCTGGGATTTCAGACATGCACTACCACACCTGGCCATATCTTGAAATCTGAATCCCTAATATGATAATAGGAGGAAGTGGGGGCCTTTGGAAGGTGACTGGGTCATGAGTATGGAGCCCTCCCTCACAAATGCGATTAGTGCCTTTATAAAAGGCCTCTGAGAGCTCCTTTACCCGCCACACCGTGTGAGAACCCATAAACAGAAGGCTTCGTCCATGAGCCAAAAAGGAGACTCTCACTGGACACTGAACTTGCCAAGCCTTGACCTTGGACTTCCCAGCCTCTATGGCAGTCCTGAAGGACCAAGACACCTACCTAGGGAGCGCCCTTATGCTCTCTGAGTAGCCACAGTCATGGTGACTTATTTGGCGCTGGTCAGCCCTGGCCACGCAGAGCCAACTTTGATGAATTCTGGGGAGTTTTGCTGGCTTTCCCGGAAAGACGGGGTCTTTCTGCCAGAAATGCCCACCTGGTAGGTCAATGCCGAATACTGCAGGAGCCACCTTCCCAGAGACCGGAGTGGCAGCGACTGAGGGGCGATCATGCCCTGAAGGAGCCAGCATGGAGGAGGTGCAGCCGAGAAAAGCAGAGAGAAGCCTGGTAGGGAAAGCTGCAAGCCCAGGATCAGCGGAGCCCAAACCGTGCAAACTGTGGGCCTTGGATTGTTCTATTTTTCAGGATTCTATGTACCGCAGGCTGGCTCCAGATTTATGGCAATCCTCCTGCCTCTGCCTCCCAAATTCTGGGATTATAGTCATCCATCACCATACCTACCTTGCTTTTCATTTTCAGTTTTCTGAGCCAAAACTGAGGTTAGAGCAACAAACATTGTTTATTGTTTTAGTTACTCATTATCAGTTTGTAGTTCATGACTCAGCTATTATTAAAAACTTTTAAAAAGTTATGTATTTTTGTCCAAAAGAGTTTTGAGTAAAAGCTTTAATATTAATGCAAAGTACAAAGAAAGGTTTCCCATGATCCTCCACCCCAATAATCAAGCTGGGGTTTTTTTTCCTCTCTACTTTTAAATTTCTTGCAAACACACTTAACCCTTACGCAGTTAAAAGTCATAGAATACATTAAAACTAGTATAGCATGGAGAGATTTTTTTAAAAAAATTATTTCACAAAAACTTTTATAGTCTCAGAATCCTTGTGGTATCAATATCTGCGTACTAAAGTCAACATCTCTAAACAGGACTCCTTTTTGTCTTAAAACAACCACAGCCAGGGTGTAGCTTAGAGGTAGAGCACTTCCCTAGCATCCCCAGTACCCAAACAAACAAGAACCAACCAGCGTCACTGTGACGTCTGAGCAATAACTGTTTAATGTGGTCAATTAGCCAATCACTGTTCACATGTCTCTTGCCTTCTATCTCAAACTGTTTATTGTCTGAATCAGATCATAAGCAAGGTCCGAACAAGTCGATGTCTCTCACTTTCTATTTGTCCCCCTCCAGTGCTGAGGATGGAACACAGGGCCACACACGTACATGCTAGGTGAGCAACTGCCCACCGAGCTGCACCCCAGCCCTCTGAAGTCGCTTTTCAGCCTCCTCTCTCTCTTTCTCCTACTGCAATGTTCTATTGAAGAAACTGCACTCTGCTCATTTATGTCACCAAGCTTCTAATTCACTTCTGCTCTCTTGATTCCGCTTCTGCTCTCTCAGTTCCACAGCCAGCTGCTGAGGTCCTCAGTCCACCCTGACTGCTAAGTTCCAGTGCCAGTCCTCTGAGTCCAGGCTCACTCCAGCTTCTGCAGCTCCTCCGGGTCACTCCATGAACACCGTGAGCCACCATCTCCTGGCCCCTGGCCTCTGTGTTACTGATACAGGATTGGGCCCGAGATCCACAGAACAAGGCAGAAGGGACGCTCTGCCGCCCCCAGGACGGGGCTCCCTCTCTCTGGGGACTTGGTCAGCGAGAAGCCAGCCAACATGGAGAGACACTGGAGGTGGGGAACAAGGCTTTGCATCCACAGCCCCGGGAACCTGCCACTGCGAGCCGAGGGTGGGATTCTCCGTTTGTCAGATGCCAGCTGACAGCCTCAGGAGTGACCCTGAGCCAGAAGCACCTAGCCAATCCCTCCTGGCCTGGAGGCCCTGAGAAAAAGTGTATGCTAATGAATTTGTGTTTTAATTTGCTAAGTTTTGAGATTTCTTGTTATGCAGTAATCCACAAGTAATACAGGCCCCTCTCCCTTGGTTCCTCTACCTCTCCAACTCTTTGTACTTGGCCTAACTTGCTGGGCTTCTTTCCCATCCGCCCATTGGAATCCAGGGACCTGCTCTCCCAGGTCATCTCTCCCACTGCTGCACTTAGATGCTGGCTGGACATTTTTGGAGGTGAGGAGACCAGGAAGAAGTCATCCAAACCTAAAGAAGTCTGTGCTGCGGAGGCCCTGCGTGCCCCTCCCTGGTGCGGCACCTTCCCCTGGGGGCCGTCCATCCCCCGGGCACCTAAGCATCTGTGCCGGATCCATTCCTATACTCCTGACACTGAGCATTGTCCCTGGCTCGCAGAAAGCTCTTGGCAAATACTTGCTCAATAAACAAATGAACAAAACGCAACTGATGGAACAGATCGGCCCCCAAGCTCAGCACAGACTGAGAGCTCTGACCCCTCTTTTTTTTTTTTTTTTTTTTTTTTTTTTTTTTTTTTTT